ATTAAGAATTTAACAGTAAAACTGATGTTTCTTAAGGGTTCCAATATGGAAAATGGACAGAGTTTCACATTGTCCACTTTGGTTGCTTTGCTATCATTGGCTTCCCTGCACGTTCCCATAGTGCTATTTCTGATAAGTTTATTTTTTTTTAAATCAATTTATTTTGGTTACAAACACTATTTCTCAGACTATAAATAGATTCTATTTGTGCTGATAATAATTGAGAAAAATGACTTGTGATGTGATAATTAGAAGGAAATGGTACCATTTTTTTAAAATGCGTAATGAGAATGAAAGGAAAAGTCCAAAGGGTTACCTAATTCAATAAAATTTTAATTTTGTAGTTAATATTAAAAGAAAAAAGCACGTCATTGTAATGAGTACCTTTTAACAAGATATCCGCGAACATTCAACCTTATTATATAAGGTTCGGATACTTGTATTCAAATTTGAAATGAATTCGAGTAGTTATTTTACTATTTATCTCGAGTTTGGTTAGGGTACAAATATTACTCTTTGAACTCTAAATCCATTCATAAATAAATATGTATAAAATATATTTTATTCTTTTAAAAAGGATTGAACCATGATTGTGCTCTTGGACAATTAATAATCTTGCCAATTTAACAAAACTCATTTTTAATATTATATAAAAATTAATTATATTTATCTTTTTCTATTTAATTAAATATATATTGTTTTGTTTTTGTCTTAAACCCTAAATGGATATTTAATATATTTGAATATTTACCAGGTAGTTTTAAGATATTAGGGTATGAGTTCGGGTAATATATTTAAATTTTATTTAAATAATTATAAGATTCGAATATTTAAAAAATCAAGTTTAATATAAAAAATCAAAAAAAGCTATTTGTGGAGGTTTGAAATTTTATAAACAAACAATTAAAGTTCTTTGAAAACAATTCAACTTTGATATAAAAGCAAAACTTGAAAATCATTAGACAACAAATTTGAAAACAAAATGCTTTTTGGATTTTTCATAAAAACAAAGTTAAAAACATTAAGAAAAAGCTTAAAAACAAAATGCTTTCATTGCTGTTTTCAACCTTTTTCTCCTATCTTTGGATGTTGTATTCTTGGTGTTCCATGCATGAAAAACCATAAAAACAAGTTAGAATTACATTTTTGAAAAACTTAACTATGATCAAGCTTTTATTGTTACTGAGAAAATAAATTTTGCGTATATTAAGATCCAATTATGATACATATCACGTTCGATTTATTTTTTCTCTAAATATACCACTAATATCATCTCATCTACTTTCAACAGGGGTGGAGCTAGTCAATTTTTATTGGGGGAGTCAAAGGTTAAAAAGAATAAAAGTTAAAAATTTTTAAAACTAATATATTGAACTTAACCATTAATAATTAAAAAATTTATAATAGATAATAATTTTATATAACATATAAATAAAAAAACAAAAAGAAAAAAACTTATAATAGTGCTCTTAGAAAGTTTTGTTCGATGATGGTAATATCTTTTTTAATATAAATAATTAAATTATTTATAAAAAACTTATCATCCATTTTGTTTCGAAGTTTATCTTTTTCAATATAAACGATAAAATTAATATAGTCAACATCTAAGATTCTTATTTTATTATATTTAAGCTTATAACACTAAATATTAAACTATAATGCTTAAAATATAAATAGTTAAATACGATATAAAAAATTAATAATTTCTTCTTATACTCAAGATAAATTCCTTTCAACTAAATATAAAACGTAAAACACATTAAAAATATATACTTAAGATAATTTTTTATATATAATTAGGATTAATAAAAAATAATATATTAGTAAAATTTTAAACAACAACCTATAATGCAACACTAGAACTTATATTTGAGAATTATATATATAATAATTATTTAATTTTTAAAAATTAAAATTATTAAAAATAAAATTCACATAACAAAAAAAATCATGAGAAATAGGAGATATAACCTATAAATTAAAAAAAAAGAATATAGTTGATAATTCCTAAAAATTTAAAAAAGAAAATATCTAAAAACTTAAAATAATGAGCAAAATAGAATATAATTAAAATAAAATAATAATATAAAAAAAAATTGAATAAAAACTTTATCTCTTATAATTTCACAATATAAGGATAAAAAAAAAAGATAAGTGAAAAAACTTAAAAAACTTTAAAAAATTTAAAAATTTGAGTAAAATTAAAAAAAACTTGTAAAATTATTTTATTATTTTTTAATTATATTAATTATTTAATAAAAATTATTTTAAAAATATATAATATATAAAAAATTTTAAAGGGGTTCCCCCTCCCCCCCCCCCAATTACGAAGGGACGCTCCGCCCATGCCTTTCAATATTTAAACTCAAGATCTTTAATATTAGCTTCTTAATTATTGTTTGCTTAAACTTAACTATTATGTAACTTTTTTTTAATCATTGGAGAATTAGTATAATTTTTAAATTGGGTATATAAATTATGCGAAACTAAAAACTCATACAATAATTTTTTTAAAAAAAAGTAAAATTGTGATGCAAAATTACAAAACTACCAACAATTTCTATTCCGTAAGAGTCAAACCTATTTCTTGGAAATTAATTATTTAAGACAAACATTCAAACTATTTTGCCCAGAGGACGACCGCATGGGGGTAAAGCCGCGAGGATTGGCCTTACGATACTTCTTGCGGTCACCGTGGGACCCAGAAAACATAAAGCCGTTGGACGGTGTTAGATGACCCAATCAAAAGAAAAAGACTGGCTTAACTAGCTGTTGCCACGTCACGTCTCCGATTTCTTGTCAAGAATCATATTAATAAAAAAAACAAAACATGTGAAAATCCGATGCTACTGAACATATCGGATCGAACCCAGCTTTTTTTTTGTTATTTTACGATCGGTCACCGACCAATCATTGGAGCTTCATTTCATCCAGCAAAGAAGTGCGTGAGAATCTTGTTGGTTATATTTTTACTGCCGTCTTCTTTTTCGATGGATTTTATCAAAACCCAAAAATAAAAATAAAAATAAGAATGACATTGATTATATGAATGACTTTTTTTATTATTATTAAGACAAATTATTATCAATTCTCACCTTTTAATAACAATGTTATATAATTTTATTAATTTTTAAAATAATCAATTCACTTTAAATATGTAAATAACCTTAATGAATAAATATAAAATATTAAAATTACTTTTTTTTCTCTGTTTTTTATTATTTTCTTCTTTTTTTAAGCCAGCTAACAACACTCTCTTTACTCCGGCCACACAACTTCCTTAAGGGAGCTGTACCCTCCCCCCAACCGCCGTGCTCCCTTCGTGTTATGTGCACCCTGGTTGCAGTAAGAGGTGAAGGAGAGGCCTTTTTTTTGTTTGAATAGGAAAAAAAATTAAAAGTAAGAAATTTTAGTTTATATAATGTAATAATTTTTTAAATTAATAAAAAGTAAAATTATTCTTTTAATATCATCAAATTATTAAATTAATAAAAATATTAACGATTGATTATCTATATGTCTAGCAAAAGATATTATTTTGAGACAGACTATTCATTTTAAAAAATTAATGAATCAACGTAAAATTATGGTTAAAAATTAAGAGATTGAGGATATTTTACTTTTATTATTACTATTATTGTCTTTTTATTTGAGACTTGAAAATGATATTGTTCCAATGCCAAATCTTTTGCATTAAGAATATATTTGATTTTTTTGGTGCATTATTGGTCAAAGTTTTTTTTTTTCTCTATTGGCTATTAGAATTGTTAATTCATTTGAGCCAATTTCAAACCATGTGACCATCATGTGGTATGCATGTTGGGCTTTCTCTTACAACTTGATAAAATTTTTCCCCATGGTAAGTTTTTGTATTCTTTTTCATATTATTCAATGTTTTTTTAATAATATTAATTATATTTGCATACAAATTTTACAAAATGACATTTAAATATTTTATATGATAATCAATGCATATGTTTCTATTCAAGTATGATGAAGTTGCATCTCAACAACTAAGGAAGAGATTTTGAAACTTTTAAATCTCAAATTCACAAATAGACTTGGTAGCATCAAAATCGTTCGAGAAACATGCACATTTGGGTTCAAACCTAAACTACTCTTTCACGTATCTCCAATGTTACTCTTGTACAAGAAAAAAAATGTTCACCTGATTTCGATATAATTTTATTTTAATTTATTAATTAAGTTTTATACTAAAAGTAATAATAATAATACCATAAAACTCATAAATAAAAAAATAATGTTTAAATGTGAATGGAAAGAACAATTATTGTACAATATAACATAAAATTATACGTTTATTTAATATGTGATTTTATTGGTGCTTGAAGAGGAATTTTCTTCTCTAGCCCTTGCATACAATAAATAAATAAATAAATAAAAGACTTGTTTATTAAGGAAAAAGGAAGTAATTTTCAGCCAGCCTCAAAGGGATTATGATGGATATGCTTTCCTCATTGAGATTTCAATACTTAATGAGGATGATTTCCATCCTTTCTAATTTGTTTTACCCAAAATAAAATCAAAACTGCCCCTTTTTTGAACACAATAGAGTTTCCTCCAAAAGTAGATCTCCTATTAAACAAAATCCAGATCCAGCTACCCTTTCCTTCCCTTTTATTTGCTTAATTCTTTGGATTTGAAATATTACAAGTGAATTAATGAGTAATTTTTTTTAAAAAAAAAAAGGGTGAAAGCTCACTCTACCTAATCATCAACAGACGAAACTCCAAAACCCATTTCATTATTTTAATCGATTTCTCCAATTTTAAAATTTTAACGGTCCAAATATTTGATTATTGAACGTTGATCGTTTGGGATCCTGTAATTAAAAGCTAATTAGGAGGGAGTGCGATTCCTTAATTTACGCGGCAAATCAGTGAATTATTTCCCCATGCGAAGTCCGGCAAATAAAAAAAAAAAAAAAAAAGGTGGAACAGTCAAGTAGCCAACTCAAATCCTGTGGCTCCCTTTTCTTGTACAGGGTTTTAGTAGTTAATGCACATCAACAACCTTGAGCCTAAGGCTCTCTCTCTCTCTCTTGTCTTCTCAAGTTTAATCCTACCAAATTCTTGAAATTCATCCATTTCCACCATTTACTCTCCTCCTGTTTCCTTCAGCAAAACAACGCAAAGTAGCACTATCAAAGAGAAGAAAAAGGGGAAACAAGTTTTCTAAGGTTCAGCAATTCACATTTAGAAGACTCCAAAACATTTGCCACTACAAAAGTTGTCAAAAGGTTAGCCCCCATGAGACTCATCTGCATTCCAACCCCATAGCTCTCCGAAAGACACTTCTTCCCTGCGGTGGAAACCAAAAGCAGTAGCATTGTTTCTTTTTTTGCAGCAAGAGAAAACAATGAAGCTAAATCCCAACACCCATGTTTCTAGCATAATCAGTTTCTCCTTGTTGTTATGGGCAACACTGTTGGTCAGTGTGAGTTCAGATCTAGCATCCGACAGGGCAGCCCTGGTGGCTCTCCGAGCAGCTGTTGGTGGACGCTTACTTTTATGGAATCTGTCAAGCACCCCATGTAATTGGACCGGTGTCAAGTGCGGACAAAACAGAGTCGTCGAGTTAAGGCTGCCTGGAATGGGACTGTCAGGTCTCCTTCCCATTGCCATTGGCAACTTGACTCAGCTCCAAACGCTTTCACTTCGTTTCAATGCTCTGTCTGGGCCAATCCCTTCTGACTTTGCTAATCTTGCATCTCTTCGAAACCTCTACTTACAGGGGAATAGTTTTTCTGGTGAGATTCCTGGATTCTTGTTCACTTTACAGAACCTGATCAGGCTTAATCTTGCAAACAATAATTTCACGGGTACGATCCCGGAGAGTGTTAATAATTTGACTAGGTTGGGTACTTTGTATTTGGAGAACAATCATTTATCTGGGTCGATACCAGATATTAATTTGCCTTCACTTGTGCAATTCAATGTTTCTTTTAATCAGTTAAACGGGTCAATCCCCAAAGGATTATCAGGGGAGTCAGAGAGCGCTTTTCAAGGGAATTCTTTATGTGGGAAGCCTTTGGTTTCTTGTAACGGGACTGAGAGTAGTAGCAGTAAATTGTCTGGTGGAGCAATTGCTGGTATTGCGGTTGGGTGTGTGGTTGGTGTTTTATTGATTTTGATTCTTTTGATATGCTTGTGTAGAAGGAAGAGAGGTAAGAAAACGGAGACAAGGGATGTTGGGCCTGCAAAACCGGCTGAGGTTGAAATTCCCCAAGAAAAGGCTGCAGGGGAGGGTGATAATAGAAGCAGTGGGTTTTCTGGGGTCGTCAAAAAAGAAGCTAAGAGTAGTGGGACTAAGAATTTGGTGTTTTTTGGGAAGGCGTCTAGGGTATTCGATCTAGAGGATTTATTGAGGGCATCGGCTGAGGTTTTGGGTAAAGGAACATTTGGAACGGCATATAAGGCTACTTTGGAAACGGGGATGATTGTTGCAGTGAAGAGGTTGAAGGATGTGACAGTGTCAGAGAAGGAATTCAAGGAGAAGATGGAGGTAGTTGGAGCCATGGATCACCAGAACTTGGTCCCATTAAGGGCCTACTATTTTAGTGGGGATGAGAAGCTTCTTGTATATGATTACATGCCTATGGGAAGCTTGTCTGCACTTTTGCATGGTGAGTATTTCGTTTTTCTATGCTTTCTTCTGCGTGCATTCTGTTCTTGCTTTTGAGGTGGGGTTATCATTGCCATTCTTCCTTTTTTGATCACTCTTGATTGCTGGAATCTTATTATGCCTCCATTTACCAGTCCTGTTTGTTTGTAAATTTCAACGGTGTGGGCCAACTTTTTCTTTTGGTGCAACTTCAATATTTTGAATTTCCATGAACTACATCTTATAGATCAGTTTTGACTATCGTTAAAACATAATCATGACATAGAATTGATATGATAGCCTTCTGCGTGATTCATCAATTGCTTTTATGTCTTATTGTTTTCTGAACTAGTATCGAGTTTTTTAGGATTTGGATAGAGCAGTAAGTTTGATAAATAAAGGAGCTATCAATAGCTATCTTCGATAGAACTTTGTCTTTGAAATCAAAGTTTGTAGTTGCTCAATTTGCTTGTTAGATATGCATATAATTGACTTGGCATTTAGCATCTATGAAAATCTGATAAGATTTCTGGTATTTACTCATTCTGTTTACCATCGCTTGCTATGAATTTGGCAGCTACAAAAGAAACCCCAATATTTGTACGTCCGAAGTTTTTAGTTCATAATTTATTTGAAAACTGTTATGCTTCGTACCGATCTTAAATCTGATGACTGATCATGTAAAACTGAGAGTCAAAGTTGTAGCATGCAAGCAACTGATAGACCTGTTATTTACATAAGCTCTGATGTATTTCAGTAAATTTTTGTGGTATATTTGCTCTACAGGGATTATACTGAAATGCTTATATTTAATTACAGAAACATGGAATGAATTTCTGCGTTAAAATACTTTAATATTCTGTTTAAGGAATGAGTATAATTTTTTACATGATTATTCTTGGCAGTCATTTGTGATATAAGTGTGAAGAAAATCTTTCCTCTGTTATGTTAGTAATAAAAACTATGAAAGTAATGTTCACTATGCCTCTGTGCAAAGCTTTGCTTTAGAAAATTCCCGGGGAGAGAAATGGCTTAGGTATTTCTATGGAATAGAACGTGCATTCTTTCTTTGCTTATCAATGTTGGGAAATGAGATGAAAGAGATATTGATAGGAGAATGCATGACATAAGACATTCTATTTTCTCTCTTTTAGTATGTTTTATTTTCCTGTTATTATTGTTTCTGTTTTTGGTTCACTCAGGTAACAAAGGAGCTGGTAGGACTCCATTGAATTGGGACACAAGGTCTGGCATCGCCCTTGGAGCTGCCAGAGGCATTGCATACCTCCATTCCAAGGGCACAGGAATCTCCCATGGAAACATCAAATCATCCAATATCCTGCTTACTACATCTTATGAAGCTCGTGTATCTGATTTTGGTCTTTGTCATCTTGCTGGCCCTACGTCAACTCCCAACCGTGTTGATGGCTACCGAGCACCTGAGGTAACAGATGCTCGTAAAGTATCCCAAAAAGCCGATGTCTACAGCTTTGGTATATTGCTTCTAGAACTGCTTACAGGGAAGGCACCCACACATGCCTTACTGAATGAGGAAGGAGTAGACCTCCCAAGATGGGTCCAATCTATAGTTCGAGAGGAGTGGACTGCTGAGGTGTTTGACCTTGAACTTCTGAGATATCAGAATGTTGAGGAGGATATGGTCCAGCTCTTACAGCTTGCCATCAATTGCGCTGCTCAATATCCCGACAAGCGTCCTTCAATGGCTGAGATAACAAGCCAAATTGAGGAGCTCTGTCGCTCTAGCTCAGAAAAAGAGACTCATCAAACCCCCGATGTAGGTGATGGGTCTTCCCAGCAGGCTTACTCAGTTGATTCAGGTGCTCCATCTTCAGTAAAGGACTAAAAAATCAGCAATCTTTCATTGTTTTTTCTTGTTTTTGTTTGTTTTCATTATTCTTAGCTAGAGCTTTTATTGTTGGTTTATTCTTGGATTCGTTCTCTTTAAGGAACAGTTGCACTTATCATTTTCCTTTTAATATTTTCCCCCCCACATTGCCCATATTCATTACAACATTTTTCTTATTTCCCTGTAATTTTTTTTTTTTTTTGCAATTTTATGTTGTATTTGGAAGGGGGATATCATATATCATTAATTTTACTCGGTTGTGTGAAGTGTGAATAACTGTCTATTTGCTTTTGTTTAAATCATATGGTCCTTCGTATTTTTTATTCACTTCTGCAGTTGTACCCTTGTCTGCAAATTCAACTTCTGGTATGGACCATTACAACTGAGCCTCCTTTCTTTCTTTTCTACAAATTCCTAAACTCTCTGTAGTTCAATTTCAAGCTGAATTACTTGCCTGCTATTTGGTTATCAGTTGAACATGAAAATGACTACCCATTTTGTAAAGAACAAAATATTTTTCATTTGTTTGAATGCATTCCTGTCTCATCTTTCAAAAGAAGTTTCCATTATCTGTAGCTCACCCCAAGAAAATGGGGCAAAAGGAAAAGGAAAAGAGTTCCAGAATCCAATCTCAATGGCTTTCTTTTTTTCATTTCTGTATGGTTTTCTTTGCCTGCATCCTGCCTAGTTATTGGTTGGAGTTGGCTCCTAAAACAGATCTAGAGTAACCAAAAGGGCAAAAAAAGAGAAGGGCACAGATTCTTGCTTTCATTTTTCTATTCTCAATGTCTCAGAATCATAGAATAAGAAAACCAAGAAACAGAACCTAAAAGAAAAATTGACTGTTTCATTTTTTCTTTTACCTTTCCCATTTGCTTTTCTCATCTTCTATTTAAGTTTCTTTATCAGAGAAGCAACTTCTTTACATCTAGGGTGGGAATTCCAATGTCCCTTTCTCTCATTTTCAGTTAGATGAACTCAAAAACCTGTTAGCAATACACACTTTAGTCATTAGTTAGTCTGCTTTTGCTTCTGATCCAACCTTAATTTGTTGGAACTGAGCTGTAATTGGCTTTTGCTTTTTCTACAAGCCTGATTTGTTAGAACTGAAATGTAGAGTGGGTTCATAGAGGTAGGACCATGGTCCAAGTTTATGTTCATATCGATCCCTCTCTCTCACTGATTGGGTTACAATCTGCAAATCATATCATTCCTTTTTATGAACTCTAAAAATCATGTTAACATGTTGGGTAGGATGTCAATGTTTTGTTCATAGGAAGAGCTTTTTTAACATTTGGAATAGTGATGTAGTCACAGTTGTTTTTAATTTTATTATTATTATTATTATTATTTTGGTAAGATCTCAATAGATAGGGTATTGGTTAATTTTTAAGTATTTTAATTTGAATTTTATTATTTGATAAAGTACCCGAACCTAAAAACATTAATTTTATTAATTTTTTAATAAAAAAGTTAACAATTAAGGTATCCGTTATTTTTAAAATATTCCAACTCGAACTTTCTCTTTCACGACTAAAGAAATATTGAGATTAAAAACAGTGTCTTTCATAGGAAGTAATCTTTCCCTTTCAGAATATTTCTGGTAAGTTAGGCAAAGAAGAAATAAATGTGCGTGTAAAATAATGAGCCATGATTCCAATGGCTCACTCATTAACGTGCACAACAGAATGCACAGCACCCCACATTAACAATTGATGAAGTCATTTATAAGGCAACTTATGATATTTAATTAAACAATTTTTTAATTACCAAATTGCAATGCAAAGGTAGCTTGGGTTTTCATTTATGAATTCTCCGTGTTTATAAAAATAATTTTGTAATTAATGTATTATATTTTTAAAAAAAATTTAATAAATATAATGCATTAAATGAAAAAAAATTAAATTCTTAAATAAGATTTTAACTAATCTTAACAAGTGGTTATACAACCTTTAAATAATGCAAAGGTCTTGTTTCTCATTTTCATGCCAAGTTTGGTGATTCAATAACAAGAATCAATAAAAATTTGTTATGAAAATTTATGTAATTCTTTGGTAGTAACTTCATATATCTTTTTATTCGATAAGTCAGGATTGAATTTTTTTCTTTAAAATTTTCATTCGAGAGAAATGAATTTTGCAATTTAAATAGAAACTCAAAAAAAAATTGATTTATATAATATATTCAATATGATGCAGTTAATTTTTTCCACAATCCAGCTGGGCAGTTTATTTATTTATTAATTTAGTGCTACAACTTGGCATGTTATTTTTAAATTACTAAAGATGCTTGATTTTTTTTATATAGTAAAAATATATAATATAATTAGATCTAATTAGCCAGCTGGCAGAGCACATAGATATCTGAACTCACTTAAGTGCTAAGCATGTCTTTCGCCGGTGCTTTAATTACTCAATTAACAATTCTTATTGTAAGTAATTATTAATTCTTTAATACCCAATTTGATTTTGTCCAAAGTTCTTGTTAACTAATAAATTAATTAATTTAATATAGAACTAATAAATTAATTAATTATGGGCTTCTTTAACATGTTAATTCTATTTAATAATTTTCGTGCATAACATGACTGATTTAATCATTTAATCCCAAACCATAATAATAATAATAATAATAATAATAATTTCTCATGGTCTAAGGACTAAGAGGTAGTGAAAGTTTACTTACAAGTATGAATTTTGGGTTTTTAATTAATTTAATCCATTAAACATATCATCTGAATTTGCAAATTTTTAGACTTTGAGCAATCTTACATAAATCTTTACAAGTAAAAGAAAGGAAAGCAACCAAATGTAATGCTGTTCAAATCATGCTTTGAAAATTTGTGGCCACGTTAAAATCTCGACCTCCTTTGTGATTGTTAAAATATTATACCGATTCAGTAATACAATTATTATATAATATTATTAATTGACTAATTACATCACAATATTATTAATTAGTTGAAATTAGGTTATGAATAAGATTACCTTTGTATAAGCTCTGTAATTATATACACAATTTTAGAATACAAGATTTCTTTCTTATAATGATTATTATCTCCACTTTGTTATTAAAAAAAAACAAATGAAACGAATATTTTCATTATAATTGAAAAACCACACAAAAACAGTGAATATATTATATTATATTAATTATTATCCTAAACATGTTCTCCAAACCAACTCCCTATTACTCACAAAAACCTTTTTCTTCCAAAATTCTCCTAGTAATTATCATAATGGAATCCTCCTTTATTAATCCAAATATTGAATCTTTTCCACTTGAAAAGCACCCCTTTAACAATATTGTCTAGTCAAAACCAAACTCTTATCACAGTCACTGTTATTCTAAAGTAACAAGTCACCGTAAATCGATATATATTCAAGTTGCAATTAGTATGTTGTAGGGAATGTGATTGTTAGAAAAATAACTTTATAATGTTTGGTGTAACATAGGAAAATGATAATTGCAAGAAATGTGATTATTGGAAGGATTATATTGTAGTGTTTAATTTGAAAGTGCTTTACTAAGAATATAGTATAAATTTATGAAATTACCCTTATATATAAAAATATAAAGTTGAATAAATTTATAATGTTTTAATGTAAAATTTAACTTCTCAACTTTATCAATTAAAATAATAAAAAATAATATGACCAAAATAACATAATATTTTAATAATTATTTAAATATTAAAATATGTAAAATTATTAAATATTTATTGTTTCCTTAAACTTATAAAAATTAAAAATAATAATGCTTAGAATTATGACATGAATAATACAAACCATTGTCTAAAGAAGAATATGTTAGACCTTCTTTTCATCAAAAACTCAATTTTGGACTTTTTGCAAAAGTTTGAATGTTAAACCCTATTTTTTAACGACCACATAAGAGCATTTATCAATAGATCAATATGGTCTATCGATCAAAACAATTCTGTGCACCCTCTATCAATAGATGGTCAATATCTATCGATAAATAGCATGTCGAGACAAAACATGTATACATTTTATCAATAAATTACACTATCTATCAATAGATAATGATCGGAGAACAAAAAAAATATCTTGCACGAAAAATCAATCAATAGATCACACTATCTATTAATAGATAGATGCCTACGACCAAATGGTTGAATGTCATCTATTGATAGATGTACTATTTTAAGTATATTTAACACTCCTTTCTCTCGTAACCATGGCACCAAACACCTCTTTTTCTCAAATCCTCTCAACTCTTTGGTAAATTTTTTCGATTTTAAACCACTTAAAGTGCTTTTCTCTCAATTTTCGACATTAAAAACACCAATTTTTCTCAAAATACTTTCAAATTTCCTTAAAAATTTGAGTTAATGCTTTATAAAACCCTAAGGTCCCAATCTCTCCAATTCTTGGACTCCCTTACCTTTTGAGAGAAATTTTATCGATTAAAACATTTCCCTCATCTACCTTTACATTTCTACCAAACTATTTATGACCAAAACACCCCAATCCTTCAAATTTCATAAATTCTTAAAAAGAGTCACAAAACAAAATGCACAAAGATGACTGCTAGCAAGGGTTCAGGAGGCTTTGTTGGTGTCGAGACATGTTTAGCATCGGATAGGAGTTTTTTTCTGCGAAATTTCAACCATCCCTCGTACGCTCAAAAATTCAACCACAATTTCACCAAATGCAACAAAATGTTTAGGTGCATCATTAACTCTGATTACTTAGAGTCCATTGATTTCCCATACCTTGCAAACTTCAAATATTTAGGATGGACATATTACATAAAATTAAATAGGAAACACTATGAGAATTTATTTCAGATATTTTACTTCAATGTAACACAAAACTATTTTCACTCAAAAACAGGTGAGCTAGTGAACTAGGATGATAGGTTGTCCCTCATGTCATGGAAAAATGAATCTTTGTTACCCATGCCCTCATAAAACTTGTCCTTCACCTTACTTCCCTCTAAGAAGATCTTCGTTATGTCTTTGATAATGGAACTTTCCTTCGACGTGTATCTGTCCTCCACTAAATGACAGAGGTGGTTTTAATTGCACAAGGTTATCTTTCTTTGATCAAGTTTTGCACCTCATCATCACTCACACTATCCATCCTCATGGCTTTAACTACTCCACTGTCACCCCAAAGAACCTTTGGTTCATATTTCATAGCAAATACAATCGTTGTATTAACCTCGCTAAATTCATCATGGATGACATATTCCTCACCATTGTAAGGGGCATAAAAAACCTTTTTTATGGTATGTTGATCAATGAGATCATAGATTACTTCAAAGTTGACAC